ATAATGTGTGTCAGTATTAATTTAGAGAGCCGCACTTTCAAAGTCAGGGATGTGTGTATACGTGTGTGTGTGTGTGTGTGTGTGTGTGTGTGTGTGTGTGTGTGTGTGTGTGCGCGCAATGGTTCCTTTGGCTGCTGAGACTCAACACTTGATTTGCTAAAAGGAGCTGGACACTTCTATTAATCAATATTTGCTGACTGACTGGGTGTCCCACTGGTTGATTGACTGGCTGCGCAGTTACTTGACTGACTGATTGTGAACTAAATGACTGAATATCTGCGAGTCTGAACGGCTTTTCCTTTTCGTTGGACTACCGTTTCTGTAGAGGCCTACAGACAGACATAATCGCAGAGAAAGACAGCGTCGTCGTGGCTGAGCGAGAGAAGGGGGGGGGAGGTTGGAGGCGTGGGAGGGGAAAGGGGTTGAGAGATGAGGTTGAATTGATAATGAAGAGGTTAAGGGTACCATGGAGAGAGGAGGTGGGAGGTCAGGTCAGAGAGAGGGAGAAAAGGAGGCCAGAGAGCCAGAGCCAGATGGAGACAGACGCAGAGAGAGAGAGAGAAAGGGGGGTCACAAGAGAGGTGGAAGAGGTGGAGGATATTTAGCCATCGAGTCAGAATGGCATTGTATTAAAGGCTATTCGGGAGCGTGCAGGTTATACCGAGGTGTGTGTGACCACCCTGCTTTCCATTCTGTAGCCATTTCCTACACCTCGGCCCTGTATGTTTTATTTAAAACCTTCTTTTCAGTTCCCCATTCTCCTTAATCCTGATTCAATGTTTTGGCATCACTGTGGTGGATTCTCGAATACAAACAAGGAGCAAGGGGGGAGGTGGGCAGAGAAAGGGCGTGATAGAGAGGCCAATAAATGACTCAAGGAGACAGAAAGCATGCAAAACATGAGCCAAGAGGACATCCCTCATCACCTACTATCCCATCACCACCGCAACCACCCGAACCCCCTTCTCCCATATCTCCATAAAGGCCGATTAAACGAATAGACACACAGCAACCCCCCCCCTGCTCACCTCCCTTCTCCCCCCGTTTTTTACAGCTCAATCATACTGCTTTACTGCCGACACACAGGCCGCTTATCCTGAGTGTCAAAATTGAAAAGGGAACGAAAGAAAGACTGTAAGAAAAGAAAGGAGCAAGTAAGAGGAGATAGCGGAGCCAGAGAATAGAGGAGGGGAAGTGGGGGCGGCCCAAGAGCAATTTCTTCCTTGAATAAAGAAAGAATGGGGGAAGGGGGTCGTAAAAAACCCCACTAATGGCGAGGCCTGTGGTTCTGGTAAAATAGACGTGTTATAGGTTCTGGCCCTCGTTCGTTGATTCATTCATTTGTTCGTTCCTTGCTCTTTCGTCAAGTCAAGTGTTCGCCTGTCTGTCTTTCTCTTTTGTGTCCGCGAGACTAGATAAGAGCTGCTGGCATGACTGCCCGGTAGTCATTTAGTCAGAGAGAGAGAGAGCGAGAAGATGAGGGAAAAAGAAACAGAAAAGAGGATGAAAGGACTAATTCTACAGACAGATAAATGGCGGGTTTTGAAAAGCCTTTTTTTCTTTTAATTCACTGTCTTATTTGCTCCTGTTTAAATATTTGCCTCCTTTTCTCACCTGACCGACCGCTCCTTCTTCAACACACACACACACACACACACACACACAATACTGTGACATGCGACCTAATATGCAACAGGGGTTGCGGCTATGAGAGCTATTAAAATATGATCTTCTCCTCACTAATCCATATTATTGGACGCCAAAGCCTTTCACATCCTCTGAATAATTACGCAACTGTATTATTTCCACATACCCACAGTTTCCTGAGAGGGACAGCATGCTGCTCACAGACTCATCCTCTAAATGTGTGAACATGTGTGGGGTCACTCGACCAGTTTTGAATGTGTTTGCATGCATTTCGTCTCTGTCTTTAACACACATATGCATGTGTGAGGTGCAAATGTGTGACTGTGTCCCACGCCTTGTGGGATAACAAGAGACCCACACTGGGTCTGAAACCTCATTTTCCTCTTCTAATGACATATCAAATGTTTGCATATAGGCCATATCAATATGGAAATGAGTGTGCATGCACACATACACACACACACACACACACACACACACACACACACACACACACACACACAGTTCTAGAATCAAAGAACCAATCAAAGAGATATGTGTGTATATGTGCGTGTGTTGTCACAAGTCTCTGAGGTTGGGCAAGTCTGTGTGTCAGACATGACTAGCAACACACACACACACACACACACACACACACACACACACACAAACGCGTGTGCGTAGCCTAGCCTTGTTATCCGGGGGCCTGTCTTGCGGGCAGCCTCTCTAACTCTGAGTGATGTTTAAATTAGTTTACAATTTAGCCTCCTCGCTATCCGCAGACGGCTCTTAACTCAGTGTGTGTATGCGATGTGTTTTTGTGTGTGTGTTTGTGCGTGTGTGAGCGTAACAAATTGTTGCCAGTACGGCAGACATCTAATGACTTCAAATTAGCTGCCTGGCGCTCGCCTTGACACGTTGTTACCACTGTTAGCGGCCTGTGTGTCTGTGTGTGTGCGCATGCGCGTGCGTGTGTGTGTGTGTGTGCGTGTATGCAGCGCTGAGCAGCCATATCATGAAGCATAAATTGGCTTCACCTCTCCTCTCTCTGCCTGTGTCTTTTTTCTTTGTTTCTCTGTCTCTCTCCATCAATTTGATTAAAAAATTACTGTACCATGGCGAGCACAGACGTGTGTGTGTGTGTCTGTGTGTGTGTTCACATGTACACTCTGTATGGAGTAAAAGTCACTCACACACTCAACACGCAAAAATGTGAAAAAAAATGGCCGCAAAAAGGTTAACAGGTCTATTCTATTTCATTCTATCCGAGATTTAAGTCATTGTACCATTTTTATTGTTTGGCTTGTGCTTGTGCGTCTGTGTGTGTGTGTGCGTGTGTCTCTTTGTGTAGGAGCCTGATAAAGAATGTTGAGGAGGCAGGCGTATTTCTTTCTGACAATCCTTTCCAGCATGAGTGGACAGTAGATCACTTTCTGTGTGTACATGTATGTGTGTGTGTGTGTGTGTGTGTGTGTGTGAGAGAGCATTAGATCAGTGTTCAGTGTTATAAACAATGAGGATTTCATAAGGTGCTCACATCACACTGACACACACACGCACACCCATACACACACATCACTTGGAAGATGAAGAGTTCTATCTTTCTCTGTGAACAGTGGATTGCCTTTCTCGTCCCTCTAATCACGGCATCTTCCCTCCTCCGCCAAGCAATCGTTGCACTCCGCTCCCCCCCCCCCCCCCCCCCCCCCCCCCCCACACACACACACACACACACACAGGCTGGCCATTCACTTAAAAAAGTAGTGAGCAAAGGAAACGGAAAGTCCAATGCAAAATGCTTGCGTGTTATATTTGCGCGAGTTATTTTTGTGTATGTATGTTGTAAATACAGTAGGTGCATCTCAGAGGGAAGGGGAGAGAGACACATATCGTAAGGGGGAAGGAGGTAAATGGATTAAAAGCGATAGCACAGAAGTGTGAGACAGGGAGATTACAGGAAAGGAGATAGTATTGGAATGAGGTTTTATGTTCTTTGGAGAAAACTAAATATTCAAAGGGCTATACTTGGCATGAGAATCAATATATATGTCTGCTTACTGTCCATATAGCATCACATTGATCAATACACTAACAAGAAGCAATGTATATTCCCATCCTTCTCTCTCTCACTTCATCTCATTTTTTCTCTGTTGTTTTCATCTTTATTGATAATATATTATATATATCATTTGGAGACCCAGTTATCCACAGCTATTGATTTTAGTATTATAGATTTACGCAGCATGACTGAGTGGTATTTCTGCTTCTAATCTGGTGCTTCCCCTTATACTCTGAGAACCTTGTATACTGTCTGAGCGGTGGGAACAGTGGCATATTCTATTCTACAACCATATTTCTAGTTGACAATGGGACTAATCTGCGTGCTAATCTGTGTTAATCTGAGACACTCTTCTTCCCTCCTCTCTGCTGTCACAGCGGGCTCACTCACTAAAACCAAAACCAGATTACAGTTTTAATCTCATACGTCTTGCTCCCTGTCTTCCTCTTCATTTAAGATTCCACGGACAGATGCATTCGCCATCATCAGTCTTGCTCTTTTCTCTCTCTCTCTCTCTCTCTCATATTTTCTTATTTACCCATTTAATGGCAGATTTTTGTACCCCGCTATTATTTAAATTTTATTGTGGTACAGATCCAAATTTGTAAAAGAAAAAAGACCAGTTTGAATGGATTAGATTCGTTAGTTCTGTTCTGTTGATAGACCTATATACTATATGCGCCATAAGATAAAACAGACATCACATTTTACTGTAAAAATCAAGAACTATTCACTGCTTCATCATGGGAATGAAAGGACTATTTGGTCCTTCCAATCCAATGCATCCAATTGCCTCGTGTGTAAAAACTCGCTAAAATGCCATTTTTTGTTTGTTACCACACAGAAAAGGGCTTTGTAATACAACTGTCTTAACAAAGGGTTGTTAAAATGCTACACAACTCATAAAACACACATACTCATTTCAAATATATATATCGTTTTGGTCCAAGAGGTCAACATTTCTGCGCGTGTAGGAAGGTGTGACACACGTGAGAGCATTTGGTCAGCCAGGTGAAGGAGTCAACAGACCGTCTCAGTGCAAGGATCAGGGTGAAAGGTCACACCTTGGCACCAGGCGTACTTGTGTGTATGCGCGTGTACCTGAACTGCATCCAGAGCAGCGGCGTCTGACCTTGTACTCTGCAAATTCACACCACATGTACTGTCGCGTATGAGTGAGTGGTCGGGTGTGTTTGAAATCTCCTATACTTTGGAATTGAAAAGAAATAAAAAAGTATGCATGGACGGATGTGTGTTTGTGTGTCACAACACACAAGTGCGGTTGTGGTGTTCAGCGGTTTCTGGTTTTCCTTACCGGGGATATGTTTGGCCCAGCCGATGTTGACCACCAGCTCTCTGTCTGCCAGGTCACACAGCGTAGTCAAGGCCTTGATGTCGCTGTCTGGTACTGTTGGGTCGGGCATGGCGTAAATCTTCTCTGGCTCGGCCACCAGCAGATGAGAGACGATTTTGTTATCTGCAAGGCAGCCAAAGGCAACTGACATGACCACAAGACAAGGAGAAAGACACAGAGACAGAGAGATGGTGAATTTTTGCCGTTATTAGGGCGCAAGCTGTTCATCATGCAGGTCATATGCACAGTCCCTTATATCATGGCGTGGTAGATTTATACCTTTCTAACTGTATTTCCACATGTAGCACAACAATTTCAGCAGACATAACCATAAGACACAATGCATTAAATCAACATGACTACATTTCAAGATTATAGAGCAGAAAAATCATAATGTTTGATATCAAACAAACAGCACGTTATACAATTTACAGTATTTTTGTGTACCTGTGTAGACAAATATGAAACACAAAACCAAAAACGTAAAAGTCCATTGCTAACATTATTTAAAAATTCTTTACAGTTCAATTCTATTTCTATGATACCAAACATATAAAGTGTTTTAAGAAGATTGCTTGCATTTTATATTGAAATATGTGATGGATCCTCAAAGAAGAAGATGCTTGACTACAACGGCTTATAATGTGTTTGGGGAATTTTGATTGATCCAAGCAGCTTGCCAGGACTAAATATCTTACAGCAAATTGTAAAATACATTTGGAGATGTTTCAAGGTGTGATCAAATGCTGTTACTGCCGGTTATTTAGGTTGCTTAAAACATTGGATCGCCGACCAGAGGAGCTTCACCGATACATACAGAAGGGAAAGATAATACCGAAAGCCAAACAGCTCAGCTGGTAACGGTGACATGTGGTGATGAGATCTCTATGGCCCATTAGTAACAGACTGATACCCTGCTTCCAAATTAATCCACTGACTAATCAAGCATGGGTATAATAACAGAGGATAGAAGAGCAACAGAGGAGAGGAGGGATGGACGAAGATAGAGAGAGAGAGAGGGGGATGGGGGGGGGGGGATAAGCAAGAAAATAAAATGGGAGAGGACAGACAGGTAGAAATTGAGCCATGGACAGATTGTAAAAGACAGACAGGAAGAGTCGAGAGAGCGACAGCTAGATAGAGATAAACAGAAAGAGAGAGTGAAACAGAGTTGGTGGGGGGGGGGTGAGTTGTGTATTGATCCAACACTCTCCACCCCCAATTCTGTTGACACACACACACACACTCACAAACAAACACACACACAAACATTTGTACATGGATATATTCTTCTATCCTCTTCCCCATAGTTTCAGCTCCAGGGTCGTTTGAGCCAAACCAATCCCAGTCACACGGCAGTATCTGTGGGTAGATCTTATTTAATGTTTCCCTAATTAGAATCAATGGAAGCCCATTTCCAAACCCTGGGCTATTGTTCTGTTCTCACACAATCAATGGGACGCTGAGGCAGGGGATTGGACTACGGATAGATAGGCTGTATGTGCGTGTATCTGAGAGAGACAGAGGTAAGGAATTTTGTTTTGTATGTGTATTGACTGTTTGTGAGGGGAAAAAACAACAACAAGAGACACCCAGGAAGTCAATATCATCTAGTTTTTTGTTTTAGGTTAGAGATATTTGTATATATTAAAGGAAAGGAAGTAAATCAAGAGTAAATGATTGTTTCAACTTATCCAAACGTCAATAAAACAAGGACGAAAAAAGGACTAAAGAGTTAATCATAACTTGTTTAAGGATAACTGCACTATGGAACAATAGTGAAGACATTCAGCTGGAACCCACATGCTCTATGTATTAAAGTACATGCATTATAAATGAACACACATAGTGTACAAACACTCGTATTATCCCATCATTTCAATGATTAGTAGTGCAGAAGTCGCAGTAAACTGCCGTGCAGCCATTCAGCATATTGGCCTAAAGCAGAATATGCTCCAGCTTTAAGCAAAATGGGCTTTGGGGACCAAGCTGCTAAACACTGTTCAATCTGCACTGCATGCGCGTGTGTGTGTGTGTGTGTGTGTCATGTGTGCGAGTAGACGCTTAGCTAAAGAGCTAACTCTAGTTTGATGTGGCTGCCAGATTGGATTTAATCCGGATTAGGGTGCTGGCTGCCCCCTACCTTCCTCTTTCTCCCTTCCTCCCCTCCTCTCTCTCTGAGAAACCTTCTCATTTAGGCTCCGTCTCTCCCTCGCTGTCCTTCTCAACCTGTCCCTCCGTCGGCATCACTCACTCCCTTATTCATTTTCAATCATCAGGCCTTTGTGATGGTTTCTTTCTTTAAAAAAACAGCAGGATTTAAATGAACCTTTATAGTGAAATATTACACTTATAAAATGTTACGACCCCAAACTGGTAGTAGTACAGAGGAAGATAAACTTGGTCTGGAACAGATGGGCTTCTCAATACCCTGTATATTTATCTGTGTGTGTTTAAACTATCTTTACTGTCCAAATGTCTCCATTCGGATATGATCTCTAAACAATAACTCCTGCCTATTAAATCCACACTTTACTAGATGCTACAATTGCATTGTTTTTTTAATCTTTGTACAAATATATTCTTACTCATACAGCGTGCATTGTATGTCTGTCACTGTTTGCCCTGCACACTAGTCGGATGCTTTTGTCAGCGCAGCACAAAATTCCAGTCCATTTGAGTTGAGTATGAGTCACTTTGCACTGAGCACAGTATACACATTTCTGTCCTTGGGAAAGCATACTCGACCTCGGAGAGAGGACTATCATTTATTCTGTTAGAGTTGTTTTCATGTATGCGTGTTTGCTCTTACACGGCTTCTTGGGAGGCAGAGCCAGCTGTGGGTTCAGGTACGGACTGTTGTCGGCATCTATCCGGCGCTTGTACTTCTGTCTCCCGCCGCGCACCCTGTCGAGACGAACACCTGTAACAAACGGCAGAAGGAGTATATCAATAGACTGTGTGACACTGAAACTTTGACGCTTTTGAATAGTTAGGAAAAGACAAGAAATAAAAGTAAACATAAAAATATAATAGAGAGGGGGAAAAAGATTACATAATGGTGCGTGGGAATGAAACGGTGAAAGCTGTGCAGTTTCGCTGTGCGTACGTGTTTGCGTGTGTGCGTTTCTGTTATGCATGTGGGCACTTTTATCTTATTGTCAAGCTTGCTAACCTCGCTTGGCTCCTTTATTCTATAACACGACTAATTTATAGAGACACCGATGGAGAAAAATGCCTCTCTCATGTTGTCTCTTTGGCTTTTTGACTTACTCTTTTCCTGTCTCTCGCACAATCTCTTTCTCTCTGTTGCTGTCTCTCTCTCTCTCTCTTTCTCTCTCTCGTTAATTAATTGACACAAAGGAGTCTTAATTTAATTAGGCCTATCTCTCTGGGGATGGATGTTACCGTGGTTACCACTTAAAGATGGATAAGGAAGACAGAGGTGTCATGTACCCTGGAGGAGGAGAGGAGAGTAGGAACCTGAAAGGGTTGTTAAAATGCTTGTTTATACCATTCAGGAATAAAGTTAGGCTAAATAGAGAAGAACATAATCCACAGAAACTTCATCAACGGACAATATAAGGAAAAAGTTGATGCTGCCTTTATACTCCTACACCACGACTGCGTTGAATGGTTTCATGGTGTGAAATGTGTTTAAAACAGTAACAATTCAAATGTATAGACAGAGAAAAATAGGAAGAAGAGGGAGCAAAAAGGAGGAGAGCGCAGGAGAGAGATTTGCTAACACAGACAGATATAAATCCTGTGAAAAATGTGCTGACCACGTCCTAAGACAACACACCTAGGAGACTTAACAGAAAGACTCCCTATTGGCAGCAAAGGGGGGGAAATGTAAGGGAGCGTGTTTGTGCATTCGTTGGTATCCGGGAGTATTTGCATTGTGTACGATCATGTTTCATTACAGTTTACCTCTAACCCGGTGAACTGAACATGCATGTGTGTGTGTGTGTCTGTGCTCGAGACGGGAATAGGTAGACAGAAAGGCTGACAGTCCAGGTTCAGTGTGGGGGAGGAGGGGGGAGGGGAAGAGAGAGAGAGAGAGTGTCAGCAAACGGTCTAGAAACTCTGAACACTGGGGGGTACAAACAACTCAGAAACCCGCGCTTTTCCTTTTTTCACACACCGACAAGCGGCTTGCCCAAAAACTTCCTTGGTCAGTGGTTGTTTATAAGAGGAGAGTAAGAAAAACAGAGACAGAGTACCAGAGTTAGAGAAGGTAGAGGATCCTGGAAGATCGGACTAAAGACGAGAAAAAAAGCGAAAAGAAGTGAGGGAATGGGTTTGAGAATCAAGAGCTAGTTGTGTCTCAGTAAAATGGGGGCATACTGTATATTGAAACCACAGATTCGTATGAAATTCAGCAAGGAACACATTTATTCATAGGCGAGTATCAAAAAAGGTCAAACATTTGTTTCCTGTCTGTATTGCAGCATCACTTGTACTTGCAAGTCTATTTATGACACACCTACACCTCCTGCCAAGGCCTCGATCCCCAAAATGCTTTGATTAATTTCTAACAATTAACGCGGCTCTATTGCTGTGCACACTTTCCCCTTTTTTCCTCACACAAAAACTCTTACCAACAGACTTCTTTTTTCCCTTTTCCTTACCTAAAAGACCCAATACTGTGCTGACTTCACTTTATAAAGAGCACTCTCTAGCTACCTCATCTATTTTCCACCAAATTAACTCTCTCTCAGGACTGATTAATGATCAAATCTAAATGAATCAAATTAAAAATTGAAAATTATATTTCCAAAGACCACAGAAAAGAGACGAGAGGAGGCTAGAGGGAGAACGAGAGTGCTCTACCTGCTCTTAACAAATGAGCCTTCAAGTCATAAAGAATGGGCTGAAGAGGAGAGGAGGGAAGGAATAAAGAGAGGAGGGGAAAGGGTCGGGGCAAAGGTAATGTAAGGATAAGGGAAAAAAGGTGAAGAGGACAAAGAAAAGGCAAGAGAAGAAAAGAATAATTGAACAGGAAACTGGTAAGAAATAAAATAAAGATGCACTATAGAAAAAAAAAATCCTATAAGGAATTGTAGAAAGAGGAGAACTCGTGTGTGAGAAGTAGAGCGCAGGTTGTGAAATAAGTAAAGAGGCAGGTGATGGATGGGCTAATAAACGATGGACAATGAGAAAAAAAATGAATTAAAATGGGAGAATAGAGGAGGGATGATTACTATGATCATGGTAAAAAAGGAAGACAATAATTAAAAGTCAAAATCAACAGAGGATTCCCCCATTATACGCTTTAATTATGACGCAAAATAAAAGGAATGACTCTAGTCAGTCTATTTGCGTCTCATTCTACACACTGAAATAAATATTGCAATTTGCCCTCATCCAATTGTATATTTACAATTTTGCTCTATTTTTGTCACATGTTGTACGAACCCCCCCTTTGACAGACATTGACAATGATGAAGCCAAATCTATTCTCTCTGGAATATTGCTGTCTGTCAATAGCAAGATCTGCACTGATCACATCAGTATAGATTTTACTTTGCCCGTCAGCACACGTGTGTGTGTGTGTGTCTGAACAGTTGAGGGATTGCGAGTGAAATTCCTTTGACACCAAAGTGCTTTTGAAGAGAGAGACGCTGTTCAATGCAAGAGAGGAAAGACGAGAGAAAGACAGGAAATGGATTGATTCCAGATGGTCAATGATATGATGAGCAATTGAGTGGATGAAAGAGGGCAAGAAAAGGAGTGAGGCATGAAGTGGAGGGACGAAGACAAATAAAATGATTGATTTCTGTTGATCACAGCAAAGAGGAGGCAGGCTGACAAAAGGCACAAGAGGAAGGGACCATTTAAAGAGCCAGAGACGAGGAGAGTGTAGTTTTATGGTAATTGAAGCGATAACTGTGTTGAAGTCTCTCTTCAACCTTAAACCAGGTTATCACTTTATTTTTCTCTGTGTGTATTTGTGAATGTGTGTGTGTGTGTATAAAACCGCAGGGCTGGTGTTGTACAATTATACCAAGTGTCTTCCTTTGTGGGTTTAAACACTGATGTGCGAGCAGATTGGGTAAAACAACAGCACCATTTAAATCTAAGCTGTGTTTTTGCGTGTTTCTATGGTTTCCTGCGTGCGCGAGGAGAAAGAGGAAATAGCAGGAGAAAGAAGCAGACAAAATGTGTTATTCCTGTGGCGCTCTCATTTAGATGGTTGATAAGGAGTCAAGAGTATTCACGTTGATGAGGGATTAAAACAATTGACGAAAGAAGGAAAGAAAAATAAAGAGAGCATGAGAAAGGGCCGAAGGGGAAGTCAAGAAGAAAGTGTGTGCGGTGTGTGTGTAGTGTGCGGTGTGTGTAGTGTCATGCAGTGACGTTCTTTTAGACCAGAACAGATCAGAACAGCTCAGCCCGAGGCAGCGGGCAGGTGGCTGTCACTGGTGTGTGAACACGTGTGTGTGTGTGTGAACGGGGGCATGTGTGAGAGATCATGTGAAAAATGTCGCCTTCTCCACATTAATGGGCCTTTTGCTTTTAATAAAGAAAAAAATACCATGATACATTTACGCAACTATTAGACATTCCAAATGTCTGAAGAAAAAAAATCACTCAAAAGCTATATAATTAGCTTTGTGTCTTTTTCTTACACAAGTATTCTGATGATTTTGCTGACGTCTGCTTGCAAACACTCTTCCTTTCACGTCTCTTCTGGTCTCAAAAGGAACAACCAAAGTGTACGTATGAAAGAGAGCAGACCACTTAGGCAGATCTCTCGTCACGGCATTTCCATTATCGCTGGGATGCAACCAGATGCCAGTCACACACACAAACAGTCACTCAGGACAGACGCTACAGGGCCAGATTTAGCTACAAGTTTCCCACGGGGGGAACACCAGACGCCACCAGTTGTCTGCCGCTCCCCTCGCCTGTTTCCACATCACTGGCTCTTTCGTCATCTATTGATCTCGCAAAACGAAATCTTCTCTTTTTTTTAAATCATTGATATCTTCTCATAAAATGTGTCCTTTTGTAAAGCCAAACCAATTGCCTTTATGTGTTTCGCATGTGGACGTGTCTCGGACATTGGTCTTCTTTGTGGTGTGTATGACTGCATCCGTGTGCAGAAATGAGATTGGATGGTAGCGGTCGGGACTGGTGAGCTATGAAGAGAGTTTTGGCGCACACTTCCAGCAGTATATAGACACCACACACACACACCAACCCTCACACAGACTGGGGCCTTCCACCCGATCTCACTCATTAGGTCTTAGAGGCTGTGGGGAGCACGGCCAAAAGTTGGCACAAGCTGTTAGCGTGTGTGTGTGTGGTTGGGTGGGGGGGGGGGGGCAGTGTGCCATGGTTTATATTTGCAGTCCGTGGACTTGTCTCACTAGCAGTCCACCATCTGAATCCAGCTGGCCGTTAATGGCAGAATAGAGATGGAGGCTTTGGTTTTGGATTCAACACATTCTGTCTGTTTAACCGTGATTCATCAGAAGTGCCGCCCTCAAAGCTGCTACGTTGTAAAAGAGCGGATCTGTCAACATGACCATATGCACAATGTACGTACATGCATACTGAATGTTGCTGGCTCCTGGCCGCTTTGCCTCTGCCAAAGCTTTCCATGTTCAGGGTTTTGTATTCTGTTCGTGACAATTGTACGCATTACTGCTGAATTTGATGCATTATGTCAATCTTTCCATGAGAATTGTGTAAAAATACACACCGAACCGAGATAGCTCAGGTGTAATATTATTTGCCTGTTTTCTTTTACTTACCAAATCAATGAAATTAAATTACATTTTTTTAAAGTAAATTGGTTTGTTACAAATTACTTTTAACCTCGTATCACATCATTTTTTATCAAATTATTCACCTGCAACAATATCCCGTTTCCCACACCCCCTCTCCAGGCAAATTCAAGCCGCGCCTCTGTAACCTTTCGGTCTTCCGCTGACGCATCATTATGACCTCATTAAAAATGGACAGACAACCATTGCCAGAGGGTAAGTTCTCATAATATAGTCAGGCCTTTTAATTGCCTTGCTCCACAAATTAGCTGCTACATATTGGTGGGTGGGTGCCCCATGTTCACTCCTTGCTTAGATTTACCCCCTGCTCGTTTACTCCTCTCCTCCATCTCCCACACAGTGTGTGTATTCACATGATTAGGTGTGTGTTTGAGAGAAAATGTATAGGAACCCCTCCGTTCTGAGTTGGCTCACTGACCCTCTGGCCTCTTGTTTTCACATCACACACACACACACACACACACACACACACACACACACACACACACACACACACACACACACACACACACACACGTACGTCCTTACCTCGCTCTTACTCTTCATCTCACCCTCTCTGTCTCCCACGGCGACAAAGCTAATTTGAGGCAGATCTTGCCCTAAGGGGTAAACTATAAAATCTACACACACAGAAACACGCAAGCACACACAAACACACACATTCTCCTCCATGTCCTGCTCCCCATTCCACTCGTACCACTTTATCTTCACCCTTTTCACGCGAGCAAGCCCCCGACACCAGCAGTTAGCTCTGATGCTAACCTGTCTAGCCACTTACCATTATCATCTACGCAATTCTGCTGCAACGCGTTATGCACCCGGAAAGGGCGGCATGGAACAAAGTGGGCAATGTTCTTAATTGTTGTGTAAGCTGGATGAAAGCGATAACACGTTTAACTAGTCAATATAACAATGTCTTTGTCATTCTGCACAGTGATCTTTTCAACTATGCCTGTTTTTAGTGTGGACAAGGCCTCTTTTTTGGGTTTATATCAATTTTTTGTCATGGGTAGTGTTACAGATCAGTTGATTTCTTTCCAGTTATTCCTTTGAATTCATATGGGTTTGAGTTGGGTTTTCTATTTTGGAATAATAATTCAAGGCGAGATCTCAGGAGATACAGTGTTCTGTGTTTCCAAAGAATCCACTAGTTCTTTAAAAATGACTATATGTATATGAAATCTTATTTAAGCAGGTGAAGCAAAGGGAAGGAATATATAAAACTACTTTTTGAATGTCGATGAGAGTTCAAAATTGATTTTCCAAATTACCCTTATTCATATGTAGACCGGGACCTCCTGCATTACATTCCCACCCACTACAACAAATGAGGCGGCTGTAGTCTGTCATGTTGATGTATATATGTAGTCCTAGGTGTGTGTGTGTGTGTGTGTGTGTGTGCGTGTGGTGTCATGTGAAGCAGGGGAACTGCCACTACCAAAGGCACCGCGGTTCTGCTCTCCTATCAGCTTAGTGGGCAAACCACATCCTTAAGAGTTCAAATCAATAGCATCTCTACTTTTTGAGTTCACTGAAAATCTCTCAACAGATCTTGTTAATTTCATTTTTTAAAGTGTCAAAAGGAAATGATGACTTTACTTGTTGTTTCTGTGTCTAGTCGGAGGATCCGAGCCTTGTGAGCTGTGAGACTGTTGGAGCTGCCAATAATACATGTACTTACACATGTGCCACAAATACCCTCACACACAAATACACAAGACAAAACACGGGGATGAGACATGGGTTCTGTCTAAGTCAGATCGACTGGGAGAACAAACGCTACGACAGCAGCTTGTTGTGAATGTGTGTGTGTGTGTGTGCAAAAGAAAGAACAAGACATAGAACAGAGAGAGAGATGCGCATGCTCTTGTACGAAAATAAAATTGTATCTTTTTAGGCTAGTTAAAATTAGTGTACCTTTGCCTCCATCTGTAGCCAAACATTTTTAATTAACCCCAAAATGATTATTATTGACATTACAGTTGTTTTAGCTGTTTGGCCCCAGTCAATGTTAGTCTCAATGTGAACTTTTAATTTGGTTTCAGTCAAAATGCGGATACATTTTTCAAAAACTATATATATATATATATATATATATATATATATATATATATATATAAAATTTCACTCTATCTATGGTGGGAAATGTGAAGTTGTCAACATAGAATACCTTCATTCTAGAATGTCCACGTTTTGGGCTTTTCTTCAATACCTCAAACTGTTATGGTTTCACTTAACAAAGTCTGAGTCCAGGGTATGGATGAGTGTCCCGGTGGCAACAGGACGGAGAGAACACAGAGCGAAGGGGGGCAAGGATGGACGAAAGGCTTGAGAGGAGCAACAGAAACAGTACAGTAATACAGAGTGGGAGCACTGGAGGGAAAGATGAAGACAGGAATGGATGAAGGGAGGGCTGGCAGGCGTCGGCGGAGCCACGCTCCCTGACCACTGTAAGAAAGGGGGTGTAGGCCAGGTCTCCCATCAATTACAACCTTGACCCTCCTCTCCTCTTCTTTTTCTCTCTCACACACTTTCTGCTTCATTCAACCGTCCTCGCCCTGCCTCCCAACCTCCCCTGGTCCCTCTCCTCTGGTCCTATAAATCAATCGCTTCGCTCTCCCGCCTTCTCCCCTAGCTTCCTCCCACCTTACCCCTCCCACTATTTTTCTCTCTCTCTGTCCGTCGGTCCTCCTCTTTATCCCTCGCTGCTCCCTCTCCCTCTTTTCATTGTTGGGAGTGCAGTGGGAGTAGAAAGGTCAGAGGTGGACAAACGAGAGGGAGAGGAAGAGGCAGAGGCAACAAGGGAGTGCGAAGATGAGAGCGTGAGTGTATTCAATCAAAGAGGTGCGTGGGCCGATAATATGCATTTTTATTTTTTAATTGCAGAGTGCAATTATTCCGTAATGCTCTATGTTTATCACATTTAGGTAAGAGAAGGATGTGGGACTGTGCGAATGCCCTTGGATACTATGATATGCAGCTTGTTTATTAGGAAGGGAAACGGTTAACATACACAGTAAAATGGTATAGATCCATGTTTAGTGAAGAAGAGACACGGAGACAGACAAAAAAGTACAAAAAAAAGAACCAAGCTTTGAATACCAATAAAGATAGATAAAGACTGGTAAGATGGACATGGGGAAGGCAAACAAGAGTTGCGCGATGCCTATAGAAATAGATTACAATAAACATTACAGAAATGAATATTAAGGAGTAAGAGTTACATGTAGCATTGTTTAACATCAATCCAGAATCAGTACATTTACCATAACAATAATGGTACCATGTCTGAATAACAGGCTTGCCTGTTTTTTAAGGCATTGGTTGTTCTTGTGTTCCTCAAATTCATGACCATATCTCTGCCCCAAAGGGGAGGGTGGTCTTCTGATGATGCAAAGTGCTGTACGAGTTCATATCATATCAGCAGGAGGACTGCATTAGCTGAAAAAACATTTTTGAATTTTGAATAGGCTTTAAAATGCTACATGTAGCACAGATAACAGAGAAAGATAAGGAAGAGACCTTTTCCCTTACCCTCCCTCAGCATGCCCACAGTCAGACACTTCATGAAGCGGCAGGCCTGGCACGACTTGCGTCTCCTCTTGGTGATCTCGCACTCGTTGGTGGCTGGACAGCTGTACTCTATGTTGCCTGTATGTAGACATGTTAGGAGAAAGACAAAAAAAGGGTTTCATTTCAGATGGATACTACAACGGACGGGTGGGCAGTCAACCTTATGGACGCGTCCCACTGCACAAAGGGAAGACGGTATGTGTCTTCATTGATAATAATCAATGGGCCAGAGAGAGAACAATCTAGAGGAGTAGTATACATATGGATCCACAATTAACTAGCTGTGCCCCTTAGTGAAAGTATTTTAATCTGGTTGCTCAAGCATGGTGCAGAGACTACTGATCGTCAAATCATTATTTATCTGTTTGTTGGAAACAGTGTGACTGTGTGAATGTAAGTCGATGTCACGCGAGGATATGTGCACACAGCCCGGCTGGAGCGAGCTGAGGTTGCGTGACAGGCTGCAGTTCACTCGCAGTAGCACCGATGAAGAGCTGAGGCTAAGATCGTGAGCCGGCGTAAGTCTATTAACTTCACAACGATCGCCAACAACAACACAAACATCCAACGTGTAGAAAACTTTATACCACAGTAAGTGGTTGCGTGTCTGAATGACACCTATTTATTTATATTTCTCATTCTGTTATTTAGGTATTTCATGCTCAGCTCTGCTCATTTCCTCCACTTAGTGCTTCCACCCAGCTCATAGTGGAGCAGAGCTATGGATTTGTGAGGAGAGTTTGCACTATTTCAGAATAGTTCAAAACAGGTTTCTTTCTTATGGAAGGTTTATTTATCAATAGAATGAGCTGAGACGAGATGTGACTCGCAACATAACTTTTTGTTTTATTCCTGCAGCGCCCACCTGACAACTATACAGGACCGCGTGAAGCCAATGCATCTCCCACCGAAACAGAGTAAACAGTGATTACTATCGACTGCTGCTGTGGGGAGGATGTGTTCTCATTACTGGGCTGATTAAGGGAAGTAGTTAGCTTAGGAAAAGGCTAAATGCACAGACACTCCTTAATGGGTAACACAATGCTCATTAATCCCATATTAGTTTAAGTAAAGGCTAAACATGCTAAATGCTGTGGGGACCTTTATTGCCTAATGGACACTCCTAACGGGACTAGTTAGCTCAACCATAACATGCTGATGATACAGGAGGTCCAGATTAATACAGCAATTAAGAGGGACATTTACCTAGCACTAAGGCTAAATGTGCCAATGACGTATTCTGTGTGGATTAATGGATGGTCTGTAAAAGGCCTTGTTAGTGCAAGGCTAAACAGGCCAGCACTGCTAAATGGATAACTGCAGTAAAGAATCACTTACAGTGCTGGAAGCATTAAGTCAAACCTCTTATTAGTACATCTACACACACTGAGTGCTGTCAGAAATAAGAATGCTTGTGAAACGTAACATAAACACAACTGTAATTAGTACCTCAACTGAAAATGTAATGGACTGTAATACTTGCATATTTTTAAGAATGTTCTTGATACAACACTGTAAATGTCCAGGAAAGGCGAACGTGCTGTAGGTTTACAAATATACGCATGTGACTGTCTTCAGGTTTAGGGCACCGAACAGGAATTAAAAAGAAGAAAAAAAGAAGGGTTTACATCAGGATGTCACAGCCTCACTGTATGTATTTATTTCAGGGTTTATGTGTCTTATTGTGCACTGAGGGGGGCTTAGACTCGAGAGGTTCTCGGAGGTTACTATGTATAACGTGTGAGTTTGTATGTGTGTGTGGGTGTGATAGAAATGAGGTCCTCAAATCCCCTGCAATCTCCTTTGAGAGCGTGCGTGTATGTCCACCTGCTGCATGTCAATCAACCACCGATGGACAGACTGCGAGTTTGTGCTTTTACCCGAAATACTCTTAGAGCCGTCTTATTTTTCACCTCTCCTTACATTTTACTTCCAATTTGGTCATGCCATAAGTTTAGCCTCTCCCTCCCATTCATGTTATTATCTTACTAACCTGGCTCGCTTATTTAGCTGTTTAAAATAATTCAACTTTTGAAGACGGTGCTTCTTCTCCGTAAGGCAGCGTGAACAAAACTCCCCTCCTCGGCGGTCCAACCAGCAATTACACTGCATGGTTCTTCTTTCTCATATTAATCTCTCCTGCTCTCATCCACCTTTCTTCTTCCCTCTTTTTGTCTCCATCTTCCCATTCCGTCGTCACATCCCTCCCTCTCGTACACTTTGCCCTCCTCCTCACTCCCCTTTATCCCTCTCTCTCAATAAGGGAGTGATAGATGCAGGTTGTCAGGTGTCGCTGGACTGACGCCACAGAAACAGCAGCTGCCAGAGCCACTTCCACCATGCTGCGACACACACACACACACACACACACACACACACACACACACACACACACACACACACAGACATTTACCCTGGTAATTTCTTCCTTTACCCTACACCTTTCTCATCTTTCTCTCTTTCCTTGTTTCAACTTCTTTTTTTTTTTTTTTCAAACTGGTGTACTCTACCCTCGTCTCCTCTCGTCTTCTCCTCTTATCTCCTCTCTGATCACATGGTCTCCTCGCTGTCCAGCTGGAGGTGTTTTTTTGGTGATTACCTGCAGTTTTATTGGCTAATGGATTGAAACATACCAATATGTCTGCCGCTGCCCATCTGAGCCCGGCCCTGCTTTCCAGCCAAGATACACAAACTAACCCACAACCCAATACACACAGGCATATGTGCACATAGAAGTACACATACACCTGCGCTTATTTACATGAATGAGCACAAGCCCACACACATACACACACACACACACACACATCTGTGGAGGAGGATGGCTTGAGTGGGAGCCAAAGATGCTGTCATGACCCATTTGTTCTGTTGGATCCAAGATTGCTCAGTCTGCCTCCAAACGAACATTAACTTATACTGAAGAAAGAGTACGGCTGAAAAAGAATGAAATCTGTAAATATAATTGCATTGATACATTTTACTAATTGTAGTTCTGTCCATTTAATCTTGAAGAATTGCTGGTGTAGGATTATTGGCATTGGATGATTACATATTCTGAACAAACATCCAGGAATAATTTTTATTAATTTTCAATAAACCTAATTTTTCGTATAAACCTCGAACTGGTTGCTCAAGTTTTAACTTGGCTTGCATTTCGACTTGTGACCCATAACCGTGCGCCTCCCTGAGTTCCTAGAAGGAAAGATTACAACTACAGGGGAAATGAGGACACGAGAGAAAGGGGACAGAGCAGTGCTTTAAATCTATTAAAGGTCGTACCGTGAAGAGCCTCTACAATCCACATGGCATCGCATCTATATGTTTGCTGTGCACATGTTGTTTAATCTGTGAGCGTATTCCCACCTATGTAACCTTTAACTAGCCCTCAAAGTGAAATGAGACATGTGCAATACTATGTACAACAGCGAATAATGAAGGGTTAAACCTTTACACACAGTGATTACAAGGTCATGTCTGTGGCTGTCTATTCATGTGTGTTGGTGGCCTTTGTGGATGTGCTTCTATGAGTTAGCGTGTGTGTGTGTGTGTGTGTGTCTCTGCCTTTATCTCTGTGTGTTCCAATCTCTTCGTCAGGATTGCACTGTGTCCTGATCTCGTCCCATAATAAACACACACAGGTCATCTCTACGAAGTGGAGACCATCTACTGGATGTAAGGCTCCCCCCCCCCCCCCCTCACATCTCCCCGTCTCTCTCTGTCTCTCTCTGGGGCTTTTCTGGGAAAGCTGCTTATCGGAGGCAAAAGAAAGCGGCGACAGATAGGTGGATGGATGGAAAGGCAGATAGATGAATCCTGTCTGATATGACTTACGGACGGACTGACTGATCGATGATGGCAGGCTGGATGTCTTGACTAGTGGCTTGGTTATTTAAGTAGCATACAGACCGACAAAAGTGCTATCCTGCTTACTAATGGGGCCTAGTTATTACATAAACACGCTAAAGGTTTATCATGTGTTAAGTAACTGGATTGTTAATAGTAGAGTATGAATTTAAAATGAATGATTTTCTACACCAATGCATTTGCTTCATGGGTTGAAACATGGAAAAACCGTAATAAAACAATTAACTCAACATACCAATTGTAGATTTGTTTAAATCATGTGAAACTAGAATGGTGTCTTCATTTGAACTGGATAGATTAATGAACCAATGCAGAAATGGTGGACTTACTGGTTTGCTTTATAACTAATTGGTTGTATGTTTACCTGACCTGACCTGTGCTTGCAAGGGTAAATGAAAGATGCACTGTTACGAAAGCTGGGGTTGATTTTGAATTGAATATGTACAGAATTTGAGAGAATAGCCTAAATACCTGTGCACATCCTGGGCTACTTCTAGCTGTAACAGGAGATGAGCAAAGGATTACTGAGCCTAATTCCTTGTACTCTTCTCATCATGTGGATTACTGCTCAACCCCTTCTTTCCTTTAACCCATAACCTGAACTCCCGACCCAGAGACATCACCTCTGACCTTCCCTTAACACTACCGTATCTCCTCGACATCAGGCTTATGGCTAACACTCTTTCTGTAACGCATAAGCAGCTCCATCTAGGAATGCAAACACTACCTGGAAATTACTCTTTGCTGATGATGGCAAAGAGGTCAAGGTTGAGGGTGAACGGGGGGCGTGTCTGGCCGTTGGCGCGTAGGCATGAAGCTGAGATGGATGCCTGTTTGTGAGGGTGTGTATGTGCGTGCATGCTTGACAGAAAGAGAAAAGGTGAAGGAGAGAAAAAAGTAGACAATGGTGGGTGTGCCGCTGGCTACCTGGTTAAAAAAACATGTAACACATAAACATCTGGGCTCCCATCTGTCTTTTATCCTTTGTCAGGATCTAGTGTAATGGCTCCGGTGTACAGGAAGGAATTTTGTGTCTGTCAGTGGATTTCATTTGAACAAAACATAGTTCATGTTTCCTTTTAGTTGTTATTTGTGCAAAATTACTCTGAAGGACCTTTTTAAGGACACGATTTTGTTCAATACGGAAAACACACCTTGCCTTTAACTACTGACCTTACCTCCTGCAGCCAACCCTGTAATGTGTTCTTCCATTGACAGTTGTATTTTACCCTTCATGTAGCATGAGTTTAACACCCACTAGATCACAGTTTATTGTGATGCCTGAAGTTCTAAACAAGTAGTACCGTGGACAGACACTCAGACAGAAATGCACATACATTGGGAGATAATTAGAAGATAGAAAAAAGTAGAAATAGAAGCCAACCTTGGATGGTGCGCTTGAAGAAGGCCTTGCAGGCCTCACAGGACGCCACTCCATAGTGGTACCCTGATGCAATGTCCCCGCACACCAGACACAGCCTCTTGGGCATCGAATTCAACATGTACTCGCACTTTATCTGTGAGTCTTCTCCAATAGTTGACGAACAGTCCTCGTAGCGCTTTGATCCGGGGCCGCCAGCGGGGCCGAGGGGCCCTGCGTTGGAGCCGTAAAGGCTTGGGGAGTCTAAGCCGTTGGGGTGGCCGTTCATCGTGGACGAATAGGAGCCTGAGGCGTCGCTGGAGCCACCGGGGGAGTGATGGTTTAGGCTGTCAGTCAGGGAGGCAGGACTAGACGGCTCAGTCTTTATATAAGAGGACGGACAGTTGGACTCAAGGTGGCGCTCCTTACTGGACATTCTGCAGAGAAGCCTGAGGAAGTGGCAAAGGGAAAAGATGAAGAAGAAGCAGAGGAATTGTGAGAAAATGTCACGTGCAAAATGTCAGAGCAATGATGGATATTTCTGAAGAAAAGAGAGAAAACCAGAGGAGAGGGAAGAGTTGGAGGGAAGACAGAGCAAGAGGAGAAGAAAAATAGATACAGTGAAGGCAATGTTCCAAAGTCCAATTATAGCAATCATTTGCTATAATGCTTCTTTCTCATGCTGTAGTATTTGCTCACTGTCATTTTCAATGATGGATTTGTATTTTTTCACTTAGCCGGGCAACTTCTATAAATGACACACACACATGAACACACCCAATCCATCCATCATGGTTTTTTTTATTCTTTTCCTGAGAGAAGTTATAGAGAAAGCTGTGCTGGGGGGGGACAAGGCAATACAAGAGAGTAAGTTAAATACAAAAACTAAAGACATTGTGGTTCATTAGAGGAACTGTGTGGATATAGAGAAGCACACAGTCACACAGACACATACACATGCTCGGGGCCGACGGTCATCCGTCACTTTCCAAGTCAATAGATCCTTGTTCTACATGAAGGTAATCAGTAAGCAGCCTCTCTGCTGCTCAATCATCCCAAAGACGGCCTTACACATACATGACGCCAACACACACACACACACACACACACACACACACACACACAGACACACACACACACACACACACACACACCACTCACATTTTCCAGCACACATTGACAGGTCCAGTTTAAGAAAGTTGAAGGAAGCCACGCAATACAAAACACGTCTCTGGTAATCACTGTATTTCTCTCCTCATGTATTTTTCTTCTCTCTCTCACTTCCACCACGGCCTTCCTTTCTTTTTCCTTCTTCCCCTCCCTGAGGAGGCTGACCGGTGTCTTGTTAATGGCAGTTGTAATTAACAGCAATCCTCTGTCTACCTTACTACGTATCTGCCTGTCTCTGTATCATCTCCTATTCACCGCCGTCTTTCTCTCCCTCTCTCCCCCTCTCTCGCTTTGCATTAAAACTCTCTACTCCTCTGACCCCGTCCTCCCTCCCTATCTTTTCATTGTTAAAAGGAAAAGCACAAAAGGGTTTTTTAATTAAGGCAGGATGCCGCTAAACGAGGGGCTTCTAAAGTCCAGTGGGCCTGTAAAAGATCCCTGTTCCAGAGGGACCCATAAAACACAGACAGCGGCGCGACAGGCACTGGTGAGCCGGTTGGGAGAGAAAAGGGTGGGGGAACGTGGAATGGATGGAGAGGGGGAAATAGGCAGGCAGAAAGAATGAGGAAAAATAAGTTACATTATCAGATGACGGACAGCGGTTTCCGATCTTTGGTTTCTAATGTGCTTTAACGTGTTGGTTGATCAGCACGATGAGACAAAGTGCTCTGCCTTCATCCACATCTGAACGTCTACTTCCATCAGAGAAACGAGTCAATCTTTCCTTTCACAAAGTGACATGACATTTATACAATACCGTGGCCTTTCCTCCCCCTCTTCTATATATATATATATATATTTTATTTCCACAACCCCTTCGCTCCTCCTCTAATTCAGTGACTCCATTAATCGTGGCTTTGTGGTATTCAGCAATGTCTATAAATCCGTTTATCTGATGCCGAGGTGTAGGCCTTCAGTCGGGAACCAAAGGGGGTCGAGGGAAAAGGTTTGGACACAAATCAAGAAAGAAGAAAGGAGTCAGAAGAAGGGGTGGAGTGAGTCCATGAGGGGAAAAGGAAGTAGAGACAGAAATACACTCACGGTGCTAGGAGGAGCAAGGAAGAAATAAAGGGACGGGACGCCGAGAGATCACGCGGCATTGACGGCGTTCTCGCGGCCGGAGAGAAAATACAGCGGTGACAGAAAAAGAGAGTGGAGACATTTAAGTAGATGATGTGATGGTGATGATTTAATCTCTCCTTTTTCACTCTTTATGCTCTTTTGTGCCCCCTCCCTTCGACCGTCAATCCCTCTGAGTACCATTAAGTGAAAGAGTTTAAGTGCCAAAAGATCTCAGGCGCTTTTTTACTCTTCCTCTCTCTCAAAGACTCATCTATCTCTCTTTCCTTCACCCTTTCCACTCCTCCTCCTTGCTCCGTTTCCCTTTCCCCCTATCATCTCTTTTTCTCCAACACACATCTTTGCTATGCGGTCTCTCCCTCGCTTTCTCCCTCTCTGCTTATAAATGAAAAATAATGGCAGTCGAAGGGGGAGGAATAAAAGGAATAAAAAAAAAAAGTAGACATGCGTGCAGAGGAGAGAAGAAGATTAAGAAATCACGGGCAGCGCGCCGTGCCGAGCGAGAGGTTGAATGCATTTATGTATGTATGTTATCAGTATAATTATGGCGCCACGTAACGACGGCTCAGTGCTGAAAGAGCAGTCTTATTGTGCCTGTCTGCTCTTCAGATGAGAGCGGCGAGAGAGAGAAGGGGTTGGGTCTCATTTATTGTTATCAATTCTTCATGTTTTCAGGTGCTTAAGGAGGTTTATATGAGGAGGAAAAGGCTTGAGTGTGTTTCTTTTTGTATTTTCACAAAGGGCTGTAAACACAGAACAGTAATCACATTTTAGAATTAGCTGCTTTGCTTAATTCTGTTATAGGAGGGGATTTTGAATATCATTACCTTTGGTAGTTTGATGCACCAACAAGCTTTTTGGTGGATATTTCGTTTTTTGAAATAGATGAATTGTGTAGGTTGTTTATGAATTTCTTCTACTCCAAGTTACTCCAAGTTATTAAGAGTTAGTTATTTCAGAACAGAAACATATTCAATTGTATGTTTTTAATGGAAGAAACATATTTTATTAATTATTTTACGAAAGAATAGAAAATGATTTTCTTAAAAGTAATGGGCAGTTTCAAGGAAATAAATTATTTCATTTTCACATCAAATAAAAATGGGAACTTGTGGACACTCATCCAATAAGTAATAAGTGAGCTTTTTCTCAGCTCTAATAATTACTTCAAAGCAAGTTCATCCTGTGTCTTTTACACTGTGGGCTGACAGTTAATTCACCAAGGTTCAAATTTTAGGATTATTGCCGAGCCCATAATAACATTTACCACACGTACACCAAAAAGACTCCTGACAGCGAGAGCAAAGGGACAAAAGGGACGGTTTTGTTCATGCAGACATCAAATATTCAGCACGGCTATTTACCTGTCCCTGACTGAGGTGGAACCAACACACACACACACACACACACACACACACACACACACACACACACACACACACACACACACACACACACACCAGAAAGATTACCACTTTCTCTTGTCTCCATTTCCAGCTCGATCCCTGTCATTTTCTCTCTGGACCTATTTTTTTTTCACAGTGAATCATGAAACAGAGATAAACATGTGGGCGAGAGAGAGAACAACAGAAAGAATCCAACGATGTCCAAAAAAGAAAGGAAGGAGGGTTTTTTTCCCCCTGTGTGTTTTGAAGGAAGGTTGGACATTTTAGCACGACAAGCTGTCATTAGAGCAGTGGGCCGATGCAGCAACCTGACAACTGGCCGCGACAAACGTACAATCATCGTATTAGAGCAACAACTGTTCTCTCTGCCTCCGTGTCCCTGCGCCGTTCACTGTGGGCTCTTCCACCCTTTTATTATACATAATCGTTGTACTACTGCTTCGATAGATAATATAATAACACAAATAGATCCCCAAACAATTCCGAGCTGAGCCTGTCCCGCCCCGGGTTAGAGATTGAAAGAGAAGCAGTGTGGGTATGTGCAAGCTGAAGAAAGGGTCATAACAGACATTTTAACATTCCCCTCTCCCTGTCAGAGGTTAAGATGATACTCAAACACTCATGTTGCTTCCCTGCTGGATTCTTCTGTGTGAGTGTGTAAGTTTGACATTATAACAAAAAAGTGATGTTCGAGCAACCAAAATATAGAATTGTTATGTGAAGAGACACTATAAAAGAGAAAACATGTGCAGCTAAAATGTGAACATTAGGAACTTAAATACTTTTCAAATGTTTGACTTGACCTTGTCAGGCTCCGGTGCATGCAGGTGTAGAGGAATGAATATAAAAGAAACAACAAATACCCAAGCAATAAAAACGAGCAGAGGGGGGAAACAGAGAGGGAAGTGAAGAGGTGGAAATAGAGACAGAGGAGAGAGAAGTGCTGACAATGTAGCTTCTATGGGATGCCTAATACCTTTCTATCACACCAGCATTGTGCTCTCGATGCTGATAAGAACACAGTCCAATAAGCAAAAAGAGAGACAGAGGGAAAAAACCTTACACAATTCTATCTAGATGATACCGGTGGTGCTTCGGGAGGGAGGGTGAGTCAGGGAAGGATGGGAGACGGAAAATACATTGAATTAAAGAATGGGGTAAGAAGGGGAATGGGAGCAAGAAATGCATTTACATTTCCATAGTCAAATGAATAGAATGATTTCATCAATCGGCAGAATTGCTTTTTTTTAGCCTCACGGTCCTCTGTTTATTTTTCTTTCTTTGCTCTATTTCTGTCTATGTTCTACTCCCTTTCCAACACGCTTCTATCTGTGGAGGGTTGCTGAACTGCTTGTGAGCTTGTTACTTCAATACATTCAATGGCGAGTGTGCACAAAAGCATATAAACACATGCACGCTCACACACACACACACCTAAACCTAACTTCTAAGCTGCATACAGAGATTCAAAAAGAATAGGTTACAGCTGTTGTTGATACAGAATTATATTGAGAGCAATCTTTCTATTTTCAGGTGGTTAAAACCTCCGACAGAAAAAAAAGAAGAAGAAGAGAAGAAAAATGCCCCAAAAATTAAAAAAATAAATACGTCTTTGAAATTCTGTTTGCTGTTCATTTGCGTAATGAACGAGTCACTTGATCTGTGTCCGCACATGAGAATGTATGTATGGGTGGCGCATTGTTTACAGGCAGAGAAATCTGTGTTTGAGTTGAGCTCATGTCTCACAGTGTGCCGATGATTATAGTTGTTTTGAGGGTAAAAAAAAAACCCAG